CACTCCTGATAAAACAATGGGCCACTAACCAACCATTATGTCAGCAACAGAGTGGTGCAGGAACGATGACTTTAGCTTGAATAAGTTTTAAGTGATAGTAGACCTAGGCAGCCTCTACCACACTTTCTCATTCCTCACCCATCCGGCCCGGTGTCAAGACACAGTCCAAAAGAAGACCGGAGGCGGCTGGCGCGACCGAAGCTGTCCCTATGCGTGCCACCACACTCCCCTTCCATGCTCGGCAGTTGTTATCGGTAAACAATCTGAATAATGTCTGCCGAACCTTAATATGGCTCCCGTGTTGGTCCAGCGCATCTACCACACGGCCCCTTTAAGAAGCACATGCAGATACTACATGCAAGCAAATATAAAAATACAGTCTGTCATTTGGATTGAACATGCACAACACCCCAGAGAGTCACTAAATGGGGTTTTATACACAGTTGCAGTAGTAATGCCTGCTTTGCTTCCGGCTTACTAGCACGCATCAGTCGACCATATACAATTCCAAGTTTTGTGAGACCTGAGGCTCGACCTCGCAACCTGTTGGCTAGAACTTAAGCACTCTAATTATCGAGCCGCAGAATAGTTGTCCTGTTAGTTGCTATCGGGGTATATTCCCAATGGCAGCGGGGGAGGAGGCTTAATGTGGGCTTCACGGGACAGACTCGTCCCACTATACTTTGGACTCCCTCTTGAGCTTCGTCAGCAGCCGCACAGGAGTTAGCGATGTAGGCAGAATGGCATTACTGACAAAGACCGCGAGCAATGGCCATTTCAGCCTTGTCTTGTCTTGACATTTTGCCCATATTACTAGCTACCGTGCAGCTGTCGGCGGGGCTTGAATGGACCCCAAGGCATAACGGGATAAGTGTGTCCAGTAAAACAATCAGTGAGCCCTCCGCCTTCTAATATTGATTAAGTGCTTTATATGGTCTTCAAAGGCATTGTCCATGATAGAGGTATAGCGCCATCCATCTCCGACGCCATGCCACACAAGAGATCACAGACAGCCAATCACAGGTGCCTTAAATTGCTATTGATCAAATAGCTAATCAAGCGGCAAGTGACTTACTCTCACAGAGCGTTAACGCATTCACGTCCACATCACATAAACGAACAGACGCGCGCACACAGGCTCAAGGCTTGCCGCGTGTCTGGGGCCTCTGATCACAACAGTTTCTATAAACGATAAACAACTCCTACTGGTCTTTTCCCTACACGAAACTGGGCGTAGTAATTGCAGTGCTCTGAGCGCACCCACGGCATCATATGTTCTATGTAAAAAACCAAGGTAGTTGTTAACAATTCCGTACCTGATGATGGGCTCGAGCATGAAACCGAAACGTCACGCGAATAAAGTAATTTTTTCTAACAATTGCACGTACTTCTTCTAAAATAATGCTGGGAATGGCAAGATAGCACTTGCTCGCCTATGTCGAAATGACTTACAGAATCACTAGGATACCCCCCATCTTTCTGTGCGATAAGGCGGCCTCGGTAGAGGCTCTAAACACCAAAAATGTGCTAGCAAGGTAAAGGTCGGAAGGCAGTGCTTACCCTAGTTGCTCTCTCCATACTGTATTCCAGGCCGGAATGGACAATGTCGCGTTCGGAAGCACCCTACAAAACAGAAGAGCGAAAAAGAAGGTCATTCAAAAAGCCGGCGAACTACGACCATTCAGCGAGATAGACAGGTAGTGTCGGAGGGGGGAAACTCACGGCAATTCGCAGACGGAATTCCTCAGTTGGAGTTATTGGGACCGGGGAGCCGAGTTTTTTTTCCAAAGACTTCCCAACGCTGTCTGTAAGGTGAAAAATTACAAAGCATGGTAAAGAAGAAGTAGCAAGTGTTGATTTTTTGAATTACAGCACCAATGGGCACTGTCAAGAATACGGAAACCTGCCAATACAAGCGAACATGCGATTCCCAGGAAGTAATTAAGAAGACGA